TTGAGGAGGGGAGTGAGGGGGGAATGAGGAGGGGAGTGAGGGAGGAGCTCTCTGTCTGATTCTGTCTGTGTCCCTCCCCCCCGTTGAGGGAGTGATTGAGGAGGGGAGTGAGGAGGGAGTGAGAGGGGAGTGAGGGAGGAGCTCTCTGTCTGATTCTGTCTGTGTCCCTCCCCCCCCTGTTGAGGGAGTGATTGAGGAGGGGAGTGAGGAGGGGAGTGAGGGAGGAGCTCTCTGTCTTATTCTGTCTGTGTCCCTCCCCCCCCGTACAGGGAGGAGTTGAGGGAGTGATTGAGGAGGGGAATGAGGAGGGGAGTGAGGGAGGAGCTCTCTGTCTGATTCTGTCTGTGTAACCCTCCCGTACAGGGAGGAGTTGAGGGAGTGATTGAGGAATGAGGAGGGGAGTGAGGGAGGAGCTCTCTGTCTGATTCTGTCTGTGTCCCTCCCCCCGCCCGTACAGGGAGGAGTGAGGGAGTGATTGAGGAGGGGAGTGAGGAGGCGGACACATTGCGCTGTGAAACACCATGAGCCAGAGTAGCGCTACCAGCGGCGGAGCGGGAGCAGGCGCTGGCTCGGAATTGGCAGCGAGTGACACAGCGGAGATGCCAGCTACAGAGAAGGACCTGGCGGAGAATGCTCCTTGGAAACGGATCCAACAGAATACATTCACCCGCTGGTGTAATGAGCATCTGAAATGTGTGAACAAAAGGATCGCGAACCTCCAGACCGACCTGAGCGATGGCCTCAGGCTAATCGCTCTCCTGGAGGTTCTCAGCCAAAAGAAAATGTTCCGCAAATTTAATCAGCGCCCGAATTTCCGACAGATGCAACTGGAGAATGTGTCTGTGGGGCTCGAGTTCCTGGACAGGGAGAACATCAAACTGGTGTCGATCGGTGAGTCAACGGAGCATTTACCCCTAAATCACCCCAATTTACCCCACACACCCTACCCCTCCTGCAGTTACCCCTGTTATCCCCCACTCTCCTGTTACCCCCACAACCCACTCACCCCAAATCTTCCCACCCACCCCAATTCCCCCCACCCCAA